TATCGGTTAAGGGGTGCTTGGAGGAGAGCAAGCAAGCTCTGCTGAGCAGGAGGCGAGTGAAGGTCGGCATTGTTAATGTTCTCCCGAACCTTGGTAGTTGCGTAAGCCAGGATCTGGTCAACGTAGTCCAGTCTGTCGGGATAAATGTTAAGCGCAAGGTTGCAAAGTGACACCAGGAGAGCAATAATATCTTGCACAGGAAGATGCTGGGCCTCCACCAGGTTCTTGACCTGGGCGAAGAAAACCTCGTAAAGCTGTACGGTGTCTGTAATTGACCCTTGACCGTTCACAGCGGTGGTTTCTGTATCCGCAACTGAAGGTGTAGACTCGGCGAGTGTGCTAGAGTCGTCGTTGCTGCTCTCGCCAGCAGTTTCCTCGGAAGTCTCATCAGTGGCCTTGGCTGTAGACTCCTCACCCTCGGGTGTCTTGTCGGCATCGGCGGATTCAGCATCTTCACTAGACTCACCCGACTTGCCATCAGCTTCAGATTGCTTGGGCTCTGAAGGTGTGGCTGTCGATGCTTCTTTTTGAAGGTTAACCTTCTCCAACAGTTTTGCCAACGCATCCGCCTCAATTTGAGCTCTATCATCCGACTTGTCCTCCGGTCCATCGCGTTCAGCATATTCAGACAATCGATCCATCAGACCAATCACAATAGCCTTGACGTTGACATGGGGGTTGAGGCGTGAAACAGCACCAAGGAATTGGTCCAAGGTGTGCAGGTGGAATTCGTCCGGGAAAACTTGCGTAATCACCTCAAGGAGATACTCTTGGGCGAGAACGTCCCTGCATTGAACCACCTGCTCTAGCAGAGGTGCTAGAATACTAGACTTATACGTTTCAAGATCAACGAGCTGACTTAGGCGTACGATATTGCTGCCAACTAGTAGCTGCAGTTCCTTTCGCTCTCGAATTCGCTGCTCGCGCTCTCTTGAGTGGCCTTGGTGTTGTAGTCGAACCCATAGTTTATTCATCTCGACGAAGTTTGTAAGAACGAAGTTGATGGAGTCGCTAATGTTGCCTTCAGGACCGTCACTCTCAGTAGTCGGCAGGTAGTCTCTTGCTTGACCAGACAGGTAATATCGGAGGAAGAGTCCACGAATAGGATGCTGAACACCTCGGCTCATGTCCATCATGTCCTTCATGAGCTCCTTAACGGGCGCATCTTCAATGGCCATGTAGGCGGTTCCCACTGTAATCATAAGATACAATCGTGGAACGATGTTGCCTGCATACTGGACGAGCTCGTAAAGGTCGGCTAGGTGGTTGACAGGGTGGTTTTCGCGAAGATGAACAGACAAGTATCGCAAGGCGTCGAAAACTGACATGTACAGCTCGTAGTATTGCTTGGGCCCAAGACTGCTTGTGCGAAGCTCAGAAACCAGAGTCGAGCTATGAGAGTCAGCGCTGCCATTCAGGGGACCGAGCTATCTGTCGCGGCAATCATATACATACCAGCATTTGAGCGCATCCATTAGCTTTCCAGGAGTATCGAGACATTTGCGCATAAGGGACGTCTGCTGTCGCACGGCAACGAGAGCATCTTCAAGCAGACGAGCCTGGTCCTCGGGGGGAGCTGGCGTGGCCATCTTGTCGGACTATGACGGCGGGGTAGCTCGGAGCAGGTCAAGACAAGCCAAACTCCTAGCAATTCACTAGAATGCGACCGTGATAGACGCAATGGTGAAGGAGATGGCAGCGGGAGTCGGAGTCGCGCGGAGTTGAAGGGTTGTCGTCGATAGGTTGCGCCGCATACAAGGCGCAGAACGAACGGGTGCGATGACGATACGGGGGAGGCTGAGATAATGGATTGGATGGGTTGAGGTGGGCCTGAGCTCCGCTGGAAGACAGCGGATAATGGCGCTGTACCAGTTTGTCTTTAGGCGGCAGGGGCTCTAGGTCCGTCCCAGCCACCCGAACGGACTCTCAATTCTTGAAAATTAAGATGCACGGCGCAAGGACTCATCACGTGGTGTCAGGCAGTCGTTTCTGCGTTTAATAAAGATCCATGGGTGGATGAGATGGCCGAAGGTGCTTATGTCAACTTTATCAATTCACTGATTATGATCGAATTACTTCATTCTACTGTCGTTCAATCTTCCTCATGTTCAATTATGTTTCATTCATGGTATGTTCAAAGTAACTAATGCCAATCATACTTAGTTATGGTTAAATAAACTTCAACAACTCCTTGCAGTGCAGCATGGATGTCAGCTGTGCCAGCTCCTCAACGCCTTACTTCAAATCTTCAAATCCATCATATCATTCAGTTTTCCAAATTTGTTAAACATCCGTTTCTCTCACATTTCCTGGATCGGCCGAATACTCCAACACCACAATACTGTGGTTGTCCAACCCGAGCGGGAATCCCCAGATCATCACGAAGGAAGTCCACCAACGACGTATCAATCGAGGATGAAAATGCGGCAAGGACCAGCATCATATTCGACTCGGGATGAGGTAGGTTGTGAATATCAGCAACAATAACTACCTCCCTGATCGTTTTGATCGACGCCAGTTCCCGCGCCCAATCCAAGCTTTCATGACGAGTTGTATATAATAGCCGAAAGTCAGATACCGTCAAGCTCTGCGGGCCGTCCCATGGTCCTCGTGGCCGAGCGCCTTCAATGACAAGTGTCAACTTATCCAAGCTTTGCAAACTTCGCAGAGAACGACACACAGAAGACCAGTCATATGAATCTGGTTCCATGGCATTTGTTGGACTGCGCTTGTAGAGGCTGATCTCTCGGACTAAGTCTCTAGTGCGTGGCGTCTTATCAGTGAGGAAGGGCACCAAGGCCTCGAGATCTTCTCCAAAATGGAAAGCATGCTTTGTGTACAGATAATGAGATGCTTCCTCTCGGATTTTCCTGTTGATATGCATAATTGCAGTGTGCATGGATCGGCGGGGATGGGGGTCGGCGCAATATGTCGTTTCATATGACTTCTTTGCGATAGTTCGCTCCATTATATGGTATGCTGAGCGTTGGCTCTTCGAACGACGCGCCTCGTATTCACATTTCGACTGATTTCGGATTGAAATATCTTTCGTCCCACCGTTGTCGAGAAGATAATCGTATATTAGCATGCGAATCTCGGGAGGGATTCGCAAGAGCATGGGTTCTTCGGCCATGATGGTTGAGTTGCGTCGCAATACTTGAAAGAAGGAGGAAGATGTTGAAGTGATTCTACAATGTCTTTCGACTGAGGAATTCGTTTTGAACGCCGATGGCTCGGTGATGTCAGTCTTAGTGATTGTACTAATCGATGGTGTCGACAATCACTAACACGGTGACGGACAATGACGGACAACACGACGGATCTCACGTCAGAAGCCGCTACCTGCAATGCCTACAAAGATAACAAAGACAATACGATACTATCGCCCAGCGGCAGTGCACCAGGTATTTATGTCTGCAAACTGATCAGCAAGTCGAAGGGGTCCGTCCATCAAGGTGCCCACTCCCCGGGCCTTGACGTCCAACCCCAAGGTCGGCTTTGTCAAACCAATAAGTACAAATTCAAGCCATTAAACCAAATCTCAACACAAATTTGAAGCGACTCATGCCCGGTCACTTTGCCGTCGGTGTGGCAACCTTCCCCGTCCTTGCTCTTCGGCCACCTTGTTTTCGTGGGGTAGTTCTTGATAAGGCAAGGTCAAGGTCCTGATTATGCTCCCAACCTTACTCATTGGTTCAAGTGCCAGCTAGAACTCAACTTTTTCAGCTTCTTGTATTGAATGCTGCTAAAGTCGAAGCCGTCGACGATTTTTGTAATAAATTGCAGAGATTCAGCCATCCACTAACATAGAGGGTGGGTGTAAGACTCTTCAAACAAGAGAACTGTCCGTTGTCTTGCGGACTGTGACCCTAGAGATCGCATCAAGACCCCCACCACTAACACGCATCGCGGACCCAGAACTGCGAATGACGAGATTGAACTAAAGAAGCAATTTTCTCAACTTTTTACAGGCTGAATCGCGTACAGATAAAAGTCCGACAAGGGGACAGGCTCCAAGGAATATCGGTACTTTTACCGCTTTGTTGGACGCACGCGATCCAACGCTGTACCCGAGAGATGTTTCTTTGTCTTTGAGTTCAGCTAGTCACAAGGTTGTCCAGAAAGAATGGCAATGATCTCATGGTCGCTGGACTATCAACCTCTTTGTAGTCATGAACAATTCAACAAGCACAGCGATGTCATAGTTTGTGAACATAGTTCGTTGGAGAACCTCGTCCGGGAAGCTTCTCGACATTGAGCTAGGCGTAGTTGTACAGTCCACGCTTCTTCGGAATGCGCGGTTCGAAACATAGAATCGTGGACTGGACTACAAGCCTCTCATGTCGTTTTCTCGAGGCAATCACTTAGACTGTCTCCCGTCGTTGTTAAACCGCGAAATGATAACTTATCATGGAACAAATACCGAGTCATGCATGTTGGGCTAAGGATGCCGGCAAATGCACTTCCTGTTGCGATAACGGGCTATGGACTTGGCGATGTAAGAGAGGGAAAAGCCAACTTTCCCATTAGTCGTTTTATCTATGATTTTAAAGCAAATAAGGATACAATAGCCGCGGGAATTCGTATGAGTGAGGCTTTTGGCCGCCAGCGAGGGCGATGAGGCACTAACAACGATCCATGTTTCTGGGGTCAAGAAGTACCACGCCTCGCACGGCTATCACAAACTGAAAAAGTCCGTGATAAGTCGGGATGTCCATTCAGCCATTCTTGATGGGTTGAGCCATCCCATACGGCTATCATAGCACCATCTACGTGCGGAAGAAGGTGATGTTGATTGAAGAACATATTTAAGTGATCCCAGAGGACGAGCTTACCATATCATCGATGCTTGGGGTCCCCGGATTGTCTCCAGGACTCATTATCAATCAGAGTTTAGAGCGATACGATGCTTGCAAGTTCCTGGAGTATTTCTTGAGAATCTCGGTCGAAACAGCGGGCATTTGAAGGTATAAATGGCCTTTTCTTCTAGAAGCTCACATGGAACCTTCAAGGATTGCGATCCTTGCTAGCGTAGCATGTCTTACGTGTTATCAACCCTGAAACATCACACACTGCTGTCATCTGAATAAGCAAATTTGTTGTTTTACACACGACCTTTCTCTTGAAGCCATACAGTGCCCTTTTTTTTCAGGCGTCATCTGAGCTTTCGGTATTTAAGGGGTAAATAATCGAAATGGCGAACCAGTTCTCTTTCCGCGACGCTTCCGCATCATTTAATGATGCTCAGTTCATGGCTGATGCAATGGACTCGACGATACCTCACCTTGTTGCCATGGGAAACTCTGGTCAATGGGGAACCGAGCCCCTTTCTAGAAAGGAGTCGTTCATTCAGAAGATGCATGATGCTGTCTCGAAGTCAGAGCAGTTCTGTAAAACAGGGACTGGTGACCCGGAGAGAATATTTATCGCCGAGGTTGAAGACGATCAAACCACCTCAGAATCCACTGCAAATGAAAACCTCTCCCGCCGCGTGGACGAGAATGGAAAAGTCTTTGTGTCTGTTGGTTTCGTCAAGATTGTCGAAGAACAGTTCGTGAGTTATCTGAAAGAGACCGAGAGTTTGAAAGCCCAGGTCGGAGCTGCGTTGAAAAAGGGCAAGTTTGTTTTCCTCCAATACCTCGTCACTGATCATCGAGTTGGTGATAAACGTCGAGGTGCTGGGGCTGCTCTCCTTCAGAAAGTCAAGGAATATACTCTTGAGCGTGGTTGGAAGACAATTTGGCTTGATTGCTGGGATGGAGGTAATGGGCAGTTGGTGCAGTATGTTCCCAGAAGGACACCCTCAACTCGGTTCATTTTTAATGGTTACAGATACTACGTTGATCAAGGATTTCATATTATGGGGAGCTTTGGGAATGATCATGATGGGACTTCGTGGAATGGTAAACTTTTCCGCATGGACTTGGCCTAGAAACTGCTACCGAAGCAAGCATCACATAGCCAATACTGCTATCTCTGTGGATACTCACTTCTCCAGTGGAGCTGTATCAACAAAGCAGCCGAAGAAGGAGTCCCGTCCTCCTGCAACTCCAGCCTCAACTGCTAATTTCCTCAACTCTTGATTCTCCTCCTTACTCAGCTTCACCTTTGCGGCTCCCACGTTCTCTTCGAGATACTTGATCTTCTTCGTTCCAGGGATAACAAACAGTTTCGGACTCTGCTCCAAGATCCAGGCCAGGACGAGCTGTGAGGATGTATATCCCTTGCTCTTGGCCAACTCATTGAACTCGTCCACAATCTCTAGGTTCTTTTTGAAATTGTCACCTTTGAACCGCGTCAAGCGCCTTCGGGTATCTGTCTCTTCAAAATCATCGACAGAGCGGAAACGACCGGTCAAGATACCACGGCCAAGGGGTGAGTAGGCGAACACCGCTACGTCCAGCTCTTCGCAAGCCTTGAGAAGGTTTGTTCCTGAAGGACCTTCGATGTCAAGTGTCCAGGGGTTGTACTCGACTTGCACTGCTGAGATGGGATGGACGGCGTGGGCGCGGCGGAGAGTGGTGGACGAGATCTCTGAGAGGCCCAAGTACTTGACCTTTCCCTCACTGCGTGGGTGTAAGTCCTGCTTAGCTTAGTTCATGATGGAATGACTTACTCAACCAATTGCTTCATGGCCTCAACAGTCTTCTCAATAGGCACAGCCTCGTTTGCACGATGCATATAGTACAGATCGATGTGTTCAACCCCAAGCCTCTTCAAGCTGCTCTCAATACTCTTTCTCACATGTTCAGGTGATGAATCAGTAACGATTCCCTTGTCACCTGCCCTCAGTCCAAACTTGGTCGCAAGGAAGATATCCTGACGACGTTCGGGATGAAGCTTGAACCATTTGCCTACAACATCTTCACTGTCGCCGTAGACATCAGCTGTGTCCCAGTTAGTGCAGCCAAGTTCCCAGGCGCGATCAAGGAGTTTGAGACGTTCTTCGTTGGATCTGGGGATATTAGTGAGGTGAAACGGTGTGAAGAGGTGGTGCATACGTAGCTGCTCCGTATGCGACGCTGATGCCCATAAGACCGAGACCAATGGATGGGATCTTGGGGCCATTCTTGGTGAGCTGTCGAAGAGGGAGTTGAACTGGAGGAGCCATGATGATGTAGTTGTCAAAGGTGAAAGTATTGGCAGTTGAAGGAGATATTGGTAGGATGCAAGTGGCTTGGTTTATACGAAGAACATCTTCACAAACACAGGTAAACTCTCCTCCTTTTATACAAGTTCAATGCCTCCTCCTCATCATATCAACCGCCCTATCCGAGTCCAGGTTACGACATTATTTCCTGTGCCTTCTTGATATTCGGTTACATCAGTGTATGAAACGGGGTTAGCTTTCCACGGATCTGATCCAGGCACCTCCTCATCTCCACATTTGCGGCCGAAAGACTGCTTGTCTCCGAAACTTTAAACCATCCTGCATGAATGACTAAGACAGCCTCGGTCTCGGGGAATATCTTGTTCACCGTGAGACTCGTATCAGTGTAAGCCAACCAATAGCAATCAAGTCAAAGAGAACAAAGAATCCTGAATTCAGATCAAGGTATCAAAAACCACAAAAACGCTGTATTACACTAGTCCCTCTATTTTGTCTTGCGCCTCGCCTTGAATGTCTTGAGCGGATCTCGCTTCCTTGAGCCAACCTTAAATCCGCGACCCTTCTTACCCTTGTGGCCCTTGCGGTCTTTTCTGAGTGCCACAAAGCCAATGTCGCCTGTCAAGGCTTGCTTGCCATCCTTGGGTAAGAGATACTCTGGGATATGCTTCAGGTGAGCTTGTTGTCTAGCAGTTCGAAGTTCACCGTCGTGGCGAAGATGGGTGAGTTCCGTAGGGTTCTCCTCGAAGTATCTGGCAGCTGTTAGTACAGTCTGGATATGATGCATTATTGTGTATATGCTTACCGCTTCAGCTTCTCACTCTTCAACAGCTCCTGTCGCAACTCTCTTGTTCGGGCCTCTCGGATAGCAACCTTGGTAACGGCACGTAGAGCATCGTTCATTCGGTACCGGAAAGGGTCCACTTGCTTCATGTTGAAGTTGTAAGGCTTCACCTCTTTCCCTCGCTTGGCTTGCTGTCTAATGATCTTGGCCATCACCTTCTCGTCGTTCTCTGAAGCTGGAGTGGATGTAGGCATGTGCTTTCGGTATAGATCTTTGGGGACGACAAATGACAGAGCCATACCAGTCTGGCCAGCTCGCGCTGTACGTCCTATTCTATGTGTGTAGGCTGATGCTGTTGTGGGGAGATCGAAGTTGATGACTGCCGAAACCTTCTTGAAATCAACACCTATAAACGTTGTTAGTGCATGTCCTATGCTTGGGTAACTCTCTGCCATATAAATAACAGCGCCGGGCAAACATACCTCTTGATACACCGTACTCTTTATCACCGCCCTTGGATTTCTTAGCCTTCTTCTTCGGTCGCTTTGCTTCTGTCTCCGCATCATCTCCGTCGCCCTGCTTCTCGGCATCCTCAGTCTCGCCTTCAACAGGTTCCTCGTCATCTCCCATCATCTCATTCTTCTCATCAGCGGCAATGATGATATCGTAAACGTGTTTGTTGAACTCCTCAACAACATGAACTCGTGAGTTCAGAGGAAGTTCAGAGTTCAAAATACAACTTCGAATACCGAACTGCTCAAAGAAGAGCTTGAGACGGTAGCATCGGTCGATGTCGCTAACAAAGATAATGCACTTGCCCTTGATCAACTTGAGCTTGAAGATAACGTAAGCAAGAAGGAACTTCTCGTCTTCACCACACCTAATAATATGTTAGCAACTGGTCTCTTGTATCTGAATATCGGTAGGACATACTTGGCCACAAATTGGGTGATACCCTCGCCTTCAGCCTCCTTCTCCTTGAGATCCAACAATGTCGGGTCACGTCGGAAGATCCCCTTGAGTGTGTCGACCTCATCTGTAAGAGTAGCGCTCATCATCATGACTTGAACACCCTTGGGGACTGATCGCGACAAGTTCTCCAGATCCTCACTGTAACCGTAGGAAAGAACAAGGTCGGCTTCGTCTAAAATAAGATGTGTGAGTTTGTCGATCGAGAGTGCTGAAGAGTTGATATTGTGCCAGGCAGTCGCAGGGGTCGAGATAACGATGTCGGGGGAGTTTGAGAGAAGGGCGCGCTGGACAGCGTTGGACACCTTGTCGGTCAACTTGACTGTGTTGATATCCTTTGCGCAGAACGAAGCAAATTGTTCGATGGCCTTGAAGACCTGGTCGGCAAGCTCGCGGGTCGGAACGAGGATAAGGGCGGTTGTGAAAGCAGTAGAGTCGGTCTAAACACATAGTTGTTAGCAAAGCCTTCAAGAATTTGATATCTCGGGAATCGGGGTGACATACAGCTTTGCGCTTCAGAATGCTAGATAGCAAAGGCAGAACATATGCCGCCGTCTTTCCAGAACCACAGTCAGCCTTGGCCAAAACATCTTGTCCATTGAGGGCCAAAGGAATCGCCTTCCTCTGCACAAGAGTTGGCTTTGCAAACTTCTGCTGAGCGATAGCTTGTAGCAGTCTAGGATCAAGACCGAGATCGACGAAGGAAGTCTCTTCCTCTTGTTTTTGCGCAGGCTTCGTAGACTTTTCAACTTCGGTAGTAGCAGGCTTTTCGTCAGCGACGACCTCTTCTGTCTGATCGCGCTTTCGCTTCGTTAAGGACCCCATTGTATAAGTTTGTTGTTGTGTGGTGTTGGTGTATGTCGAAGAAAGACGGCGATTTCTCGACTGCCCAGAGATAATCTTTCGCTGCTGGGTAACTTTTCCTCCAAATTTCCAGCGGGCTGAGGGGCAGCTACGCGGCGGATGATTACCTGATTGGCTGATCAGCTCTCAAGCTAGCGCTTTCGGGATTAGCCTCGTAAATTGAAGAAAATCGTTCAGAGTTCGAACTTTTTTTCTTCTTATCGTGCTTATCAATACATGCACCCCAAAACTTTGTCTAACCTTGTTTGGCTGGGAAGAGCTTCACGTTGTTGTTCTTTTCATGCTACTATCACTGTTGCGAAATCATACACAGTGTAGGCACATGCCTCCACAATTCCAAATAATGGTACCCAGCTGCTTCCTGTTTCTGTCCTGAAGTACTTGTCGCTGCCTCCTTCGAGCAGAGACAAGTGTCAATCTAAGTCAACTTCATTACATGTCGAAGTCGACTTCACTTCAATTACTTTAACGGAGAGAGATAAAAGTCAGGTTGGTTCATCAATAGCAAGTATAGTTATCATTCGCTCAATTCATTATATCCCATATCCCATAATTCCAGGCTAACAAAATCCCAAAGAAAACATCGTCTATATCCCAATTTTATCGATTCTTTTTTGCTTTATTCCCCCTTTACCACTTAATGACAGGGTTTGGGAAGTACTCGCTGATGAGCTCCATGTAGTAAGGCTTGAGCTTCTCAGCATCAGGCACACCGTCGCTCTTGGAGTACAAGTCATAGGGGTTGAAGGCATTGACAGCCTTGAGCATCTCATGGTCCTTGTCACACATGAGGTGTCGGTAAGCTCCCTCGCGGTGCCAGGGGTAGAAGGAGTGGTAGCGGATCATGGCAAGAGCCTCGTCAGGGAGAGTAGACTGGTCCTTGACGACGTGGTAGAGGTACTCGTCGTGACCCCATGAGAGCATGACGTTGTCGAGACCACAGTTGGGAGAGTAGATACCGTACTTGGTGTTGAAGTCGGGGTTGGTGGCATCGGGGTTACCCTCAACAAAGGTCTCAGGGTAGATGATCTTGTCGGAGAAAGCACAGCCAACAGGGAACGTGTCACCAACAACGTCCCACTGACCCTGGGTCTCAAGCTCGGGGAAGAAGAGCATAAGCTTGCCAAGGTCGTGGATGAGACCAGTCAACTGCATCCATCGAGGCTTGCCGTCGCGGCGAATAGCCTCAGCAGATTGAAGAAGATGCTGGATCTGAGAGAGGGAAGTATCAGGGTCAGACTCATCAACAAGAGTGTTGAGCTTCTCCATGGCCTCCCAGATAGTCATCTCGGCACGAGGACGGGAGGCATTGTAGAAGCGGTTGCGGGCAGCGAGGTTGTAGGCAACCGTCTGCTTGTGGTGCTGCTCGCGGTAGAAGTTCTTGACACGGTCCGTGGCATCGGCGTATTGGCGGAAGGTGTTCTTGTCCTTCTCTTTGTCGAACTTGGATGTCTCGTCATACTTGATCACGTTGACATCGTCGATCTTGTCAGAGAGAACCTCGAGGGCTTGGCCATCGTGGCTGGAGAAGTCGTCAATGACAGCGCCGGGGGCCATTGTGTGATGTGTGTAAGTGAAGTGATGGAGGTAGAGAGAAGAGTCTTGTATTGTTCTTGATGGTTGAGTTGTAGTTGAGAGAGCGGGAGAGATGATGAGCTTGGAGAATCAAATTCCAAAGTCGCGAGAAGGAAGGTCTTATGTAGTAGTTGATGTCAAGACCATCCGCCCTTAGAAGTCAACCTCATATCGAGAAGTTTTCGCTTTGCCCGCCCGCGCACACTATCAACGGATCCTTCCCCTTCTTTTTCCCCGCATATCAAACTTGAGGTCGGGTACATGACCAATCTGCGTCATCTGAGTGGGTGTTTTTGCTCTACAATTCTCGTCGAGTTTTCGAGACTTGGTCGAGATCTGGAGAATGGTGGAACTCTGCGGCCAGAGTTTCTAAGTTGAGAGAGACATATGGGGTTAGATCCGCCGGAGGCACGCCACTGTGAACCCTGACTTCTCAGATTCTCAACCATTTACAGTTAGATCCGCCGGCTATAACTGTTTTCAACCTCTGAAGAGGCACCAAGGATAGCATCACGGGCGGAGGCAGTGGAGATGTTGTCGACTTTTACCTCAAAATGCCACGTTAATTCATCTTGCTAATTTCTTTCTACGTCACGCGGGGGATTGACCGGGAAGATCGCCGGATCTCAAGACCCTTCGCAAACTCGGAGATTCTCGTTCAAAATGTTCTAGACGCAGCTATCGCTTAGATCCCTAGGGCTTCATCTTGCTTGGTAGCATGAGGATTGTAGCTGGACCCTGAATTAGACAAATACGGCGATACAGCCTCACATGATCAGTATCAGCAGATCTGGTACTTAAGGCAGAGCAA